GCAATATCTTAAAAAGTTTATAATTCAGTTGATACTAGTTTTTTTGTTTTGTTCTGAGGGCATAGGGGGAAGTAGTTTCCCCTCATACTTTTTATTTGAAACCCTAAGAAAAGTTGAAATGTACAATGAAGACCCATATTCCCTTCACCTAGATTCACCACTTTTGCTTGATCATTACCTATCCCTCCATCCATGCATACACACACATATATAATACACGTGTGTATGTGTGTAAATAAAATTTTGCTGAACCACTTGAAAGTATATTGCAAACACCATGCCACTTTACCCGTAAAATACTACATAGATTCATCTAAAAAAAGACATGATCCTACAGATCTATTAACACCATTGTTACAATGAAGAAAAAATTTTTAAATCCAGTATTATAAAAAATCCATTTCAAATATCCTCAAATGTCCAGACAATGGCCTTTTCTATTTGAGTCAAGATCAAAGTGTACACAATGTATTTGGTTGTTTCATTAGTCTTTAATCTTAGAACAGTCCCACCCCATGTTTTATTGTTGTTGTTGTTTATGAGATTGACTCTTTAAAGAGCCTGGCCAGTTGTCTGAGGGACTGTCCCATATTCTGGATTTGTCTGATTGTTTCTCCATAATTAGATTCAGGTTGAAACATTTTTGACACAACACTACATAGATGATACTGTACACATCTTACTACACATCATATCAAGAGGTTCATAAGGTCAAGTTTTCATACAAATGATGATGCTAAATTTATTCTGTGGTAGAGGTGGGAGTCACCTAATTACTCCGCTTATAAAAGTACATTTTTCCCTTTGTAATTAATAAATAATCTGTGGGGTCTTTCTTTCTCACTAATTTATTTCTTTTTGGCAAGTCTAAGTAGTTTTGTTTCTAGGATGATATTTTGAGACCATGTGAATATCTGTTCCCCAAAGACATTTCACTCAATCCTTGTTTATATCAATTATTACGTTGGGGATTGCAAACAGATGGTTTTATAATTCTATCATGCCTTGTATACATACTTATCTGGAAACTTTCTGCAAAGACTTTCTCCTGTGCTTCCCCTTTGTTTGTGTAGCACAAGGATTGATTTTTTTTTTAACTTAATCCATTACAGAATCCATTACCTTCACTATATAATCATTGCACTCATTTTTAATGCTCAAATTGTCCCAAATTTGGCCTATGGAAAACTCTTCAAGCTGATTCCTACTGATACCATTGTAATTAATTAGTTATTAATAACAGAAAGGAGCAAATGAAAGGCCAAACATTATAGGCATGTCCCCTGCAAAACACTGGGGGAAGGGAACTAGACAAAGGGAAGAGAGACACATGTCCAGTAAAGTTGGGGTGACACAGGAAAGGTACTTTGGCCAGAATGGGTGTGGCCACTGCAGGTCCAAGAAGATTTAGGATACTTAACCCCTTACACAGAGAAGTTGGCTCTCTTGGCTCTTGGCTTTCGAGGCTGTTTTGCTGCTGCTTCCCGGCATTCGCCCCCACACAATGGACTAGTGACTGCAGCTAGCCTGGTGCCATACTGGACCTGGCTCCAACGTGGAAAGGAAACTCTGGACACTGGCTTTGATTTTAGCTTTACTGAAACCCCAGCTATACTATTCCTGTGACTGGACTAAGGGAAATGAGACTTTAGAAACCCAGGGACATAATTCCACAGAAATACATCCTCCTGTGGAGGCCTCCTGTGGTGGCCTCCGGAAATGCTAATCCAGTGTACCCCAAGACCCCACTTTGTCCGATATCACTATGTCCTTTTGACATATCTCCATCCATCACTGAGGACCTACTTGCTCAAGATGTTCCAGGCCCATGTGTTATTCCCCCTTCCCCAACCCTGCAATCAGCCATTTCTCCAAGGAACCCTGGCTCGTATCAGTGGGGAATGATATTTAGAAAACAAGATCTGAGGGCTTATTATTTTTGTTTCTAGGTCAATGGCATAATAAAAAATAATCTGGTCTTTGCTCCCAGTTCCTGGCACAGAGCTTCAAAAAACCTTGGCATTTTCTAAGTGATAGAAGTGTCTTTGTTATGCTAAGGAGGTGATTCACAGTGAGCCCTTAGATACCTTCAGGATGGGGGCTAGGTCACCACAAAAATCAACTCAGGGCCAGCTGAAACTCCAGGGAGGGGAGGTTGGCTGGAGATTGTGCTCAATCATGCCTATGTGATGAAATCCCAATAAAAATTCTGAATGCTAATGCTCAGTAGAGCTTCCTGGTGGTGAACACACTGGTGTGGTGGGAGGGCCCAGATTCCCTGAGGAGAGGGCACAGAAACTCCAGATCTCTTCCTCACCCCTCCACTCCCAGAACTTGCCCTAATCTTTTTTTTCCGTTTGGTTGTTTATAATTTGTATCCCTTATAATAAAAGTGTAATCCTAAGTATAGGGCTTTCAATGAGTTCTAAGTCATTCTAGCAATTGAACCTGAGGGGGTCATGAGAACTCCCAAATTTATAACCAGTTGATAAGAAATGCAGGTGGCTCCCAAAACTTACAGCATTCTGAAGAGGGGGCAATCTTGTGCAGAACTATTCCCAAACCTGTAGAGTCTGATACTAACTCCAGGTAGGTAGTGTCAGCATTGAATTGAACTGCAGGTCACTGGAATGGAACTGGTTGTGAGTTAATGTCAGAACCCAAAAGGTCCTTTCCATGAACACAGCTACAAAATATTGTTCATACATACACACACTTACGTTATAAATTTGTAAATATAACATGATAACAAATATACATTTTTTAAAACTCTTAGGTCCATATCAGCCTCCAAACAAAATCCAACACCACCTGGAAATCACATTAATGCATACGGATACATGTTATGTTTCACAGCTGCACCACTTTATATTTTTGTGGATATACCATGCTTTTTTCAACCAATATCTGAGAGTTGTTTGCTACATATGCTGTGAGGTATAATCTTGTGCAGATGCTGTTTTGTATTTGTGAAGATTTATCTTTGAGGCAAATTCATACAACTGGGCCTGCTGGATCATGGGTAAATGCTTATAAATTTGATAAAGTCTACCAAAGGGCCCTGCATACAGGTTATACCATCCTGGACCCCCTTCAGCAAGGTGTGAGTGCCTATTTCCCCAGTCTCACCAATTGTGTGCGCTGCTCAATTTTTGAATTTTTTATTTTGATAGGTGAGAAACATATGTCACTGCAGTTTTAATTTGAGCATTTTTTTCATATGTTTAAAGTCTATTTGTAGAGCTTTTACTGAGACTTACCTATTCATGTGTTTTGCAATTTTTTCTATTAGGTTTTAGGTCTTTTATTTTTTAATTCAATTTTAAGAGTGCTTCATGTAGTAGAAAATTTAACCCCTTCTTTATAAGGGGCAAATATTTTTCCTCACTTTATCATTTGTCTTTTGATTTTGTTGATAGCCATGCAAGTCTGTAAAAATCACTGATAAATTCAGTCTTTGATTGCGTCTAGATTTTGAATCATATAGAAAACCTTTCTCCAAGTTATAAAATAATGCATCTAATTCTATTATTTAATATTTTTTCAACATTCAGATCTCTCACCCAATTAGTTTATTCTGATGTATGTATGAAGTACAGAGCCAATTTTCTTTTCACAATTAGCTATCCAGTTGCCAACATCATTTATCTTAGAAGCATATTTTCACACTAGGGAAAAGTAATGCCACTATGATCATATGTGCAATTTCCATTTATACCTGGGTCTATCCCTAGAATTTTATTCTATTACCTTGGTCTGTTTGTTTCATCAGAAGCCAGTATCAGTTTTAATTACAGATGCCTTGTAGTAAGATTCAATATCTGACAGAGCTAGTCTTTCTCATAACTACTTTTCCCACAAGGTTTTCCTAGCTATTCTTGCATGTTTATTTTTCCACACGAATCAACCAGTCTAGCTCCAGAAAAAAACTTTACCGGAATTTTTAATGGATTGCATCAAATGTATGTATTAATTTAAAAGAACTGCCATCTTTGCAATATGGAGTCACCATATCTAAAAACAAGGATGTCTTCCCATTTATTCAAGGCACTGTTACATCTTTAAGAAATGTTTAAAAGTTTTTCTCACAGAGATTTAGGGTATTTCTTTTTTAATGTTTTCTATGTATTTTATTTATTTTTTTATTAAATGTTTTTATTTATTTTTTATGTGGCTGTTGTAAATGAGGTCTTTTTTTCCATGACAGCTTCTAACTGGCTACTGTTTGGAAATACAAAAGCTTTTTTACTTTTTACTGTGTTATATCTGCTACCTTACTAAAACCTTTTCACTTGAGTTTGTGTTAATTTTATGATTGATTTTCTTGGATTTTTCCAGTTTTACTTATTTTGTTTCTCAAACTTATGCACTTGATACATTTTTAGTTTAAAATATTCTCATTTCCCAAAACTCACACACAAATTGAGACTATATTTTTATATAATTGTATACAGTATGTTATTTCAATTTTAGATCACTGGAATCTGCACAAAATCCTACTGCACTGTACATTCTCACATTCAGTTAGTCACTGAGACAATGATGACTCAGACTAACATTTCCTAGATTCTTAGGGCCTCCACCCACGCTGATCCCCACACCTACAGACCAAGCTGCCATCATCCCTAAGCCCAATACACTCAGTCTTAAGACAGGGAAGCAACTTTACACAAGAATTCCACTTGCAATCTTAACACTAATCAATCTTATCACACTGTCATCCTATCTTCAGCTACACAGTGAATGAAGTCCTGCCTATCATCTAGCCTTTCCTCAGTTGTTATCCTAAAATCTTCTGCCTATCCTACTATGAGTTCATTTTCACAGGGCCAAGTTAGGAGACTTTCACAAAGCTCATGTAAAAGTAGCAAAAAAGTATAAAACTCTCAAGACAGGAGGCAAATAAAACTATCTATGAGCTCAGATGTATTACACACCAATACAGAACGCTAGATGTTAACTGCAGGATCCAAGTTCATTATTTCCCAAAATTACAGTACCTTTTCTTTCTTCACATGATTCATAATTTTGCCAAGGTCCTCAACATCAACGATAGAAGTTAGGCTCCGGTGGTCCTCGGTATCAGACTCTTCCTCACTGAAACTCTCAAAGGACTCCTCCTCCTGGAACATCAATGCTTTAGAAATACATTGTTCAAAGTAGCAAACCATCAAATAACCCCTCCCAAATTCTGAGATCACTGGATGGATAACACATAGTTTTGGCTAGAGGTCAGCAAACTATGACCCACAGGCCAAATCCAGCCATCCTCAGGTGAAATGTGAAGGTGCCCATCATTTACATATTATCTATGGCTACTTTCTTGACGCAACAGCAGAACTGATAGTTGCAACAGAAACCACATGCCCACACATACTTGTACATGAATGTCATAGCAGCACTATTCACAATAGTCAAAAGGTAGAAATAACCACTATGTCCATCAACAGATAAATGGATCAACAAAATGTGATATATCCATACAACAGAATATTATTCAGCCATAAAAAAAAAAAAAAATGATGTACTGATACATGTACAATATGGATAAATCTCCAAAACATTATGCTAAGTAAAAGAAGCCATGCAAAAAAAGGTCACATATTATGTGATTCCATTTGGATGAATATCCAGAATAAGTCCATAGACACAGAAAGCAAACTGGAGGTTGTCAGGGCTAGGGGAAAAGGGGGAAGAGTGCCTACTTAATGGTTTTCTTCTGTGATGATGAAAAGATACTGGAACTTAATATAGGTAGTGGTTGCACAAAATCGTAGATACACTAAATACCACTTGATTATATACTTTAAAATGTTAATTTTGTTATGTGAATTTTACCTCAGTATTTTTAAAAGTCTTAAAAAATATTAAAAGCTGTCCTGGCCAGTGTGGCTCAGTTGGTTGGAGCATAGATCCATATACTGAAAGGTCACAGGTTCAATTCCCGGTCAGGGCACATACCCAGGTTGCAGATTCAATCCCCACTCAGGGTGCGTATGGGAGGCAACCAATTGATGTTTCTCTCTCACATCAACGTTTCTCTTTCCCCCTCTCCTGTCCTCTCTCTCTAAATTAATAAAAACATATCCACAGATGAGGATTAAAAAAATTAAAATATTAAAAGCAAATTGGAGGGGAAAATGAGCAAAAAGAGTGGCTAGAAAAAGAGAACAGAAAAAACGAAACAGCAACTGACAGAACAGAGGAAAGATTTGGTTTTTACTTGCTTTTTGTGTTTGTTTAAACACAGGTGATTCCAGAACATGTTTATATATGAGAACGATCTAGAAGAGGGGAAAAGATTAACAATGCAGGAGAGAGATACAATAAACAAAGGAACCAAAGCCCTTGATTCCAGGGCACGTGCAGAAAGTGGTCTTTCGCAGAACCAGATACTTGTCGCCTGGGACAAAAAAGATGGTGAAGATTTATAGATGGGGCAGGGGCTCTAACAGGACTCTTCTCTGATGGCTTCACAGGAGAGCCAGAGAAGGAATGGGGAGAGAGAGTATTACACGGTCATTTTGAAGAGTGAGAAAGGGAACTTACAAGGGAACGCAGAGACTGTTGGGAAGTTCTGAATTCACACTTGAATCTGCAGTCATGAATCTGTAGTCAAACAGCAAGCAGCAGGCAACGAGAAGGCAGACAGCAGGTTTCAACATGGCTTGGAGTTCAGCCAATTGTGTTGCAAAATGGAGTGGAAGGCAAGGCAATTGAAGATGTTTATAAGAGAGTAAGTGAAAAATCTAACTGGGTAAGGACAGAAGTGAAATAAGCAGTTTTCCCTATCCAATGAAAAGGGTATGGGATCAAAAGAATTTTAAAGTAGGGGCACCAGGAAGAGGTCAGAGTTTGGGTCACAAGAACATGCAATTTCAGAGGTGACTGTGGAAGTGAGAGGCCACGATCAGTGAAGAAAATGGTTACTAAAATGGTTACTGGAGGTTTGAAGGCCAGGAAACTGGCAGGCCAGGGTGTTAGGTAAATCTTCAGCATGCATGACTTAGGATGGAGTGTAAGACAGTGAGTCAGAATATAAAGTTGTTCCTAAATGAGACAAGTGGCCAGGTGGCCAAAGCACAACAGCAGTGATATAGCCTAAAGACATGACCTTCAAAGGAACTCTGGGGAGTCTGAAGAAAGAAATAGTTAGAATGTGAGGGGTAAAAAAGATGAATCTAGGATTACTTGCAGCCTTTAAGTTAGTGATTGATAGTTATTAAATAAGACAGGTAAGGAGGAATATGTGGTTTGGTGATAAAAACATATGAGCTCAGGCAGGGGCATATTTAACTTCTCTGGGCCTCTGTTTCCTAACCTGCAAATTGTGGTAGAAATCTATTTGACTAGCAATGCAACGATTGCAGAAGAGATATAGGAAAGCATCCAGCACAGCATGGCTTAACTCCTAAGACCACATTCTCTAAAACACCCCCACATGGGTTTCAAATCTTCCTTCTAACCAGAAGTCAATGAAATAGTTTTTCAGGGCAGAGCTATGGCTCAGCATTTCCAAACACAGGAGGAAAGCAGAGACATGGACATTTAGGCTACATACCTCAGCATCTCTCTGATGCAATCCATCCTGAGTATGAGACCCTGGCTCCATTTCCTCTGAGCTATGTTGATTAGATTCACATTTGCCTTTCTTGCAATTGCCATCACAGGATTTCTTCTCTCCTTTACAAAGCACCTGGAGCTGAGAGATGAACTTGGTCTTCCAAGCTCTGAAGTCAGCTTCAATGCTGCCATGTTTGCTTTTAACCACATTGCAGTCACCCTCCCCTCGAGTCATCACACGATGAGCACCAAGCATCCAGAGCCACTTATCAACATTCTTGCCAACCTACAAGAAAAACAGATGAGCTAAAAATACAATATAAGTCAGACGTGTGTACACTGCTCTGTAGAAGCCTAGAGTACCTGTGGGAACCCTGCTGCTGCTGGGAAAAGGGCACTGCTTAGCCAAAAGGGCTTTGAGCCCTCTGGCCCCAGTCACAACCCACAAGGGCACAAGGGTTGGGCCCATATCTGGGGAGAGGTACACATACTAAAGTTCTAGTAACTTCTTAGCACCACTAAGAAAGTGAGAAGGCTCCAAATTTTTATTTTTTAATGTACAGAAAACAATGCAAAAGAAAAGGAGCCAAGTTAATTTCATTTAGAAAAAAATCTAGGAGCCCTGCCGGGCGTGGCTCAGGGGTTGAGCGTCGACCTAGGATCCAGGCGATAGGGGTTCGATTCTGGGTCAGGGCACATGCCCGGGTTGTGGGCTCGATCAATGACTCTCATCATTGATGTTTCTGTCTCTCTCTCTCTCCCTCTCCTTTCTTCTCTCTGAAATCAATAAAGATATAAAAAAATAAAAATAAAAAATAGAAAAAAATCTAGGAAAAGAATACAATTGATGTTATATTACATAAAGACATCATTATAATACATTATAAGATTCTGCAAAAGGTTTAACAAAGGGACAAATCTTTTTATTAAATTAAGAGTTAATGCCTTAAAAAGAATTTGAAAACCACTATTCTAAATAATGTCAGAATAAAATAACTCATTAGCAAAACAAATTTGTTCCAAAATGTAACAAAGCCTATGGGGCCAAAGCCCATTTAATAACAAAGTGCACATGGAGTCCATCTGGCAAGACTCATAATTTCATAAACTCCAAAATTTATTTTATTGCAATATGAAGCAATGAGGTTGAGGAACAGGGGTTATCAAGCACAGCTAAGAATTTAAAAGCTTAACAGACTTCCTGAGTGACAAGGTATTAGACAAAATATTTACAAATCTGAATTTTACCATTCTTTGTCTAATTCCTTTGAAAATGTGGGGTAAATATACATTTGATGTAACAATTGAATGAAAACAAGTTTCCAGGATGATCTCCACTTTCACTTTTACTCACGTTCTACCAAAGACAGGTGAGCCAGGCTGGGCCCATATCTGGGGAGAGGTACATATACTAAAGTTCTAGTAACTTCTTAGCACCACTAAGAAAGTGAGAAGTTTCTCACCGCCAAGTTAATTTCATTTAGAAAAAAATCTAGAAAAAGAATACAATTGATGTTATATTACATAAAGAGCAGTGAATGTTTTTCTTCTATTATCCTTTAAAAATTAATGATTGCCCGGCCGGGCGTGGCTCAACGGTTGAGCATCGACCTAGGATCCAGGCGATCAGGGTTCAATTCCCGCTCAGGGCACATGCCCGGGTTGCGGGCTCAATCAATGACTCTCTCATCATTGATGTTTCTATCTCTCTCTCTCCCTTCCTCTCTCTGAAATCAATAAAGATATATTTTTTAAAAAATAAAAAAATAATATAAAAATTAATGATTAAAAGACAATGGGTTCAACTGTATTAAGAGTTAGCTTGGGCAATAAAGGTTATTCAACAACAGAACAGGCAGTTGAGAAAGTCAAAAGATTCAGTGATATTCCATCCCCAAGGTCCTTCCTGGGGACAGGAGGCTGAACTCAAAGCCTACAAATCCAGGCCTCTATGACACTAGACAATAGCAGGTGTATTCATTTATTTTATTCAATAAAAATTCACTGAGAGCCTATACACCAAGATTGGATATATATGTGTAGCAATTCCCAGTATAAAGAAAAATACAATAAGTTTATTATTAAGTACCAAAGTTTGTGGATTCTTTCACATGCACATACATATGTGTATGTGTTATCTTTTTTTTATTAAGAGAATTTATCCCTATAATTCAACATAGATATCTACCTTGTACCCACCTTGTTGAAGTGGCTCGTATAGGCAGAATTTCCCAGGCCAAACACCACATATCTCATACCCTTCAGGTAAGTTTTGCCAAATCGAAAATCACTGGATGCTTCCTCTAACCATTTGCAGAACCACTCCGCACTCTCGGTTGGTCGACCATCAGTATATGTAGCAACCAGGAAGGCACAAACAGTTTTACTAGTAACCTAACCAAGAAAGTAATTATTTCAGAAGAATATTCAAGAAGAAAAGCCTTTTTTAAATACAGACATTCCTATCGTACTAACTTCTGAGGACAAAGGGTGCTTTCATAAACAATCTTTTTCAAAGGTGAAAGAAAACACAGCAAGGACACCTTGCACTGGGGAGAAAATTCAGTTCTTTGCCAACATACCCCCTGGTGCCCTTCACCATCTACTCCATTCCATCACTCAGACTCTCAATTCCTATCATCTCCAATTTGTAATATTGGAAACAAAATGCAAGCTAGTCAAAAAAATACACTAAGATCTCTAAAAAATTACCTGAAAAATTAAAGCAATAAAACTTTTTAAACATAAAGTAACAATTGGCACCATCATCTACATAGGAAAACAAAATACATCTTCAGTCTGCTAGTCATAGTATTTCAAATGCTTGAATATCTTAACAGTTCCAAGTCATGAAGCAAGTTATAAGTAATCCCTTATTAATTATTAAGTATCAGAATTCGTTAATAATTTTTCACAATTGAGTGCACATACGAGCTCATTCATTTGCACCCCAGTGTTTTCTTGGGGGAGAAAAAAATGGACAATTACAGTTACAAGTTTATACACTAAGAAGGGGCTGGCAAACTATAGCCTACAGGCCCGATCCAACTCGATATCTATTTTGTCAATGAAGTTTTACTAAAACACAGCCACACTCATTTGTTCACATATTGTCTATGGCTGTTCTGCGCCTCAAAGGCAGACCAGTAGCTGCACGGCCCCCAAAGCTGAAGATGTCTACAGAAAAAGTTTGTCCACCCATGCTCTAAGTACTTATCCAACTCTAGCTGTTTCGGAATCATCTGGGGCACCTGTTAACACAGTCCCACATCCAGACTTTGGGTGAGTAACCCTGAGCTAGGACCTAAGAATCTGAATTTCTAACGAGACCCCAGGAGATGCTGATACTGTAGCTGGTTCAAGGGGCCACACTTTGAGAACACCTACAGTAAGGCAAACTTCCCTAACTGGATAGGACTAGAGAAGAGCGAGGCACATTTCTCAAGGGAAGAAATTAAACTCTCTTAGACATTAAGTAATGTAGGAAGCTCACACAACTAGTAATAGATTTCTCTAACTCCAAAACCCATACTTCTTCAGCTACCCAAGTAGCTCCTGACCTTTCAGTAGGCTTACACGTGGCTCACATGCATGGCACACACCCATCAGTAACAATCCTCCTTGCTTATGCGATTCAAAGCAGGAGGGCGCTGGGAACTTCAAAAGGCGCACCTTCCCCACCTTCACCCCCACCCCAGCAGAGTCTAACACGCCAGAGGGACAGGCTCCATACCATTTCAGAATCAGTGTACCACACCACACATTCAATACCTCTGACACTGAAAGCTTGACCCACTGAAATCTCCTAGCATGAAATTAAATTTATTCTGGATTCTATTTATCCCAGGACACAGGTCAATTAAATTTGAGTTTTGACTGAAGAAAAAATAAGACAATTTACCAACCTCTTCTACTAGATTATCATCTGGATCATATTCTTTCAGGTTAATAACTGCCACAGGCAGGTGTAGGGAAGTAACAGCTTCAGCAAGAATTGTTGCAAATTTCTAATAGGGGGAAAAAAAATCACAGTCTTTAATAAGCTAAATAAGCAAAATACTGTCTTCATTTACTCCTGCTGATGGGGTATGAGGGCAAAGGAATGAGGCACTTCTCAGGAAAAACTTTTTCAGTGACTGGCATTTGCCATCAACAACACAAATACTATTCTAATTTTTACCATTTTCTCAAGCATCGTTATAGAGATCAATCATTCAACCATGTTTTTCTCACTCTAAGTATATATGGGACTAAATCTAAATCAGCTCTTTTACATTCCAGCTGCTTTGCCTCACTAGAATAAACACATAGATGTATAAAAAAATACTTGAGAGTGAACAGAATGGGAAATACGAGAAATGTTAAACCATTTCCGGAAGATAGAAAGCAAACAGGGACAGGTTGACAGATAGGAGAAAGTCCTAGGGGAGAGTTCATATGCCTAACAGAACCCCAAAGAGGCTCTAGGCTCAGAGTCAGCCACTACAGCAGAAATGGGAGGGAACCTGGGGCAGATAAGAGCCAGCAAGCAGACAATTTACATACGGGACAAGTGTGCACAGAGCCTAAGCAACATTTACACTTTATCCCCAGGCAACAAACCTCTAGATCTCATACAAAATGAACCAAATGTTTGGGGAGAGCTAAAACCTCTAATCAAATGTTGGCACTACAGGAAAAGGCATTCCTCCTTTTTGCCTTAGCTAAGCCTGCCAAGAATGTATTCACTTACTGGGCATCTACTATGCCAGTCTTAGTTCTGGGCACTATTACAAAGCAGTGAACAAGACATACGTAGTCCCTGCCCTCAAGGAGGTTACAATCTGATGGACAAAGAGGAAATAAACCTAGAAATGAGAAAATACACAGTATATCAGATGCTGAGTAGTGCTATGGAGGAAAATAAATCAGGATAAGGGGAAGAATAGTGTTGAAGGCATGGGAAGAGCCATTATTTTACACAGAGAGGGTCAGGGCAAGTATTATATTAAAAAATAAGTATTTGGTCTTTGTCTCCAGTTCCTGGACTCCAAAAACCCTTGGAACTTACTATCTTTGATATGCTAATGAAATGACTGAAGGTGGGAGTGAGCCGCAGGTAGCTTCTGGATAGGGCCGGTCACCAGAAAACCAACCAGGTGATTATAGGTTTAGAACCTTCAGCACCCTTTCTCCCTGTGGGTTCAATCATCAACGGCAGATGATTTAATCAATGGTGCTGCAAAATGAAAACTCTATAAAAATCCCTAACAGGGGTTGGTGAACACATTCATGTGTTCAGATACCCATAGCCCTCCATACCGTGCTCAATATATGTCTTCCATTTGTCTGTTTCTGAGTTCTCTCCTTTATAATAAGCCAGCAAATATAAGTAAAGCAATTTCTTGAGCTCTGTGCAACACTCCAGGGAATGATCAAACCTAAGGAGGGAATTGTGGGAACCCTCAAATTTATAACTGATCAGTCAGAAGTGCAGGTGGCTCCTGGGACTTGTGACTGGCATCTGAAGTGGGGACAATCTTACGGACTGAACCCTTAAACCTGCTGAGTCTGATGATAACTCCGGGTAGTCAGTATCAGAATTGGTGAACTGGTGTGGGAAGCGACAAATACTTGGTGTCAGAAAGCACTGCTACAAGCCTCAAAGATATAGATTTGAACCAAACCTAATGGAAATGAGAGAGCAGACGACAGGGCTATCCAAAGCAGAGGGAACATGTAAGTGGAAAGGCCCAAAGGAGGGAGCAAGCTTGGCAAGGAAGTTAAGATTAGAGAAGTGGGGACCAAGCACATGAGATAAGAGATATAATGGAGGAGACAGGAGGGCCTCTTGGCCACTGTGAGGACTTTGACATTTACTCTAAGTGAATGAGGGAGTCATTGCTGGGTTTTAAGCTGAGGAGAATATTTTAACTTAAGTTTTCAGAGTCTCTGAGGGTGCTGAGTTGAGGGTACATTGAAGTCGGGGAAGGCGCTGAGCAGTGCTCAATGAAGACCACTGGTAAGATGATTGCAGTAATTAAAACAAAGTATGAAGTGGGTTGGACCAGGGTATAGCAGTGAGAGTGGTGAGAAGTGACTGGAATCTGGATCTACTCTGAAAGTAGAATAAACAGTATTGCTGACAGATTGGGTATGGGTAGTAAGAAAAAGTACTCAAAGGGTTTTTCTAAACTAAGCAACTGGAAGAATGAAGGTGCTATTTACTGAAATGATGAAGATTATAAGTGGGACAGGTTTGGGCAGAAGATCAGAGTTCAGTTTTGAGCATATTAATTTTGAGATGTCTACCAGACATCCACATGAAGATCTAAGATAGGCAATGGGACATGAGAGTCTGGAGCTGAGGAATGGTTCAGATTAGAAACATAAATTTAGAGCCCATCATCTAATACAGGGGTTGGCAAACTAAGGCTCATAGGCCAAATCCGGTCTTCTATTTGCTTTTATAAGTAAAGGTTACTGGAATACAGTCATGCCCATTTATTTACATATTGTCTATGGCCGCTTCCACATTGCATCAGCAGAACTGAGTAGTTGCAACAAAGACCATATGGCTCACAAAACCTAAAAAATATATACAAAATAAAAAATCTAGCCCTTTACCGAAAAAGTTTGCCAAATTCTATCTAATAGAAATTAAAGCTCTAGCCTTAGCCAGTTTGCTCAGTGGTTAGAGCATCAGCCCTTGGACTGAAGGGTCCCAGGTTCAATTCCAGCCAAGGGCACATACCTTGGTTGCAGGCTCCATCCCCAGCCCTGGTCAGGGCAAGTGGGGGAGGCAACCAATCAATGTGTCTCCCTCACATAGATATCTCTCTCTCCCTCCCACTCTCTCTGAAAAGCAATGGAAAAAATATCCTCAGGTAAGGATAAATAAATAAATAAATAAATAAATAAATAAATAAATAAATAAATAAATAAATAAATAAAAATAAAGCTCTAGTAACAAGATCCCTTAAAGAGCAAAGTGAGTGCAGACAGATAGAGACAGTCTCAAGGGCTGTGTACCCTGAGACACTCCAATCTTTAAAAGTCAAGAAGATGGGGAGAAATCAGTAAATAGTGGGGAAGACTAGCCTCAGCAAAGCAGGAGAACCTAGAGAACAATGTCCTGAAAGTCGAATGAAGAAAGTATTTTAAGAAGAAAGGCGTGGTCGTGTAGCTAACAGATCAAGTAAGATGAAAACTGAGCATTAATTAGCAAAATGGAAGTCACTGGGAGCATGTCAAGGCATGAAAGCCTAAGTGATTCAAGAAAAACAGGAGTAAAGAAACTGGAGATCGCAAGCATAGACAACACAAGGAGTTTTACTAAAAAAAAAAAAAATTAAAAAATCAGGTGATAGTTACAGGGAGATGTGGGGCCAATAGGTCACATGATATATTCTGACCCACCCTACACAGAGCACACAGTGAGAATTTAGTATTATAGAAAACAAAAATGTTCAAGGAGTAACAGAGAAAATCCACACCAGCTACGCCTTCATTCTGTCCTACATATGAACAGAAAACCATGGATCACCAAGAACATGATGAGAACAAGGGGCAGGAAAGAGAAATACCAGCAGCAAAAACTAAGAAAGCAGATAACTAAGGAAACAGAAAACAGAAGCCATTAAATATATTGCTAAATTATGAACAAAATGTTATAAAAATTTAGCAAAATGGCATTTTTGTAATTAAAATATAATAGGTGACATAAAACATTCAAAAAAGATTTGGAATTAAAATCCCAGAACCCAGAATAAAAAGAAAAAGTTACAAAAAAGTATGAGCCCTGGCCAGTGTGGCTCAATGGCTGAGCATCGTCCGGTGCACCAAAGGTCCCTGTTTGATTCCCAGTCAGGGCACATGCACAGGTTGTGGGCTTGATCCCCAGTTGGGATGTATGCAGGAGGCAACCAGTCAATATTTCTCTCTCACATCAATGTTTCTCTCCCTCTCCCTTCTTCTCTCTCTAAGATCAATAAAAATATATACTTTTTTTAAAAAGTATGAGAGAAAAGGTCTGAGACATAGACCATCCAAAAGTTCTAACATCCAACTAACATTAAGACCTGCAAAAATGGAAGGGAAAAAAATTTTCCAAAAAATATTAGCAGAATTAATGCAAACAAATCTTCAAAACTAAAAAGCCCAGCACAATGGCTAAAAAAAAGATCCAACCTAGACATCATCTCATAAAAGTTCAAAACATCAGGACAAAGATTTGATTCTAAAAGCTTCCAGAAACAATAAAAATGAAGTCATCTACAAAGGAATGAAGGTAGCCTTCTCTTCAGCAATACCACCTGCTAGAAGATAGTGAGGTGATGCCTTCAAAGTTGTAAGGAAAAGTGTTTTGGCCTAGTCTTCTATATCCAGCCAAATATTAATCAATCAAACGTGAAAGCAGAATAAAGAAAATTCAGGTGGCACAGCTTTAAGGAGGACCATCTCACCCATACCAACTGTTATGTGGGCAACAATATTAACTGTGACTTGAGGAATGTTTGTGTGAACTGACTAATGTAAGGAATCAATAACTTTTATCTAAAATTGATAAATCTAGAAACATAGCACAAAACGGTTAAAGAAATAAGCATCAGAGGAAGTAAAATAGAAACAGTTAAAAGAAATTCTCTGGAGAGTACTTTTCATTATGAATTCTCTGTATGCCTGGATCTGTTACCATCTGCAAGGATTAATTTGATCTTAAAAAATTTATTATTTTAATGTTGTTTTTTTTTACTTGATTTTAGAGAGAGAGGAAAGGAGAGGGGAAGAGAGAGAGAGAAACATCCATCAGTTACCTCCTGCATGCACCCCAACTGGGAATCAAGCCTGCAACCTGGGTGTATGCCCTGACCGGGAATTGAACCAGTCTTCTTTCAGTGCACCGGACAGCACCCAACCAACTGAGCCACACCCACCAGGGCGATCTTAAGAAATTTTTAAACATTCAAAAAAGAAGCTATGAATAAGATCGTTTATGAGTAACTTTGTTTTGGTTGCTCAGATGCTTTTTTTATGTTTCTCTCAGTTTCCCACCTCTAATGCTTAAAGCTGAACTTAATAATAAGTGACCTTTAACTAAGATGTGGAGCAAAGTACTACACCGGCACTAGAGTACTGAAAAACTAAAAAGTATTATTCTACAAAATGCCCACAAGAGGGCAGAATCCTCTTTTGTACAGTACAGTACTATATAAAAATTATCAACACTGAATTTTTTTAAATCCATTTTCATATCAGCCTTAGAATCCTTTCCTAGAAAGCACTAAATAGCTGTGACCTTCATAACAAAGAAGCAGGCAGCATCTAGATACAATTAAAGAATGGAAAGCAGCTACATATCTGCAGTGTATGTACTTGAAACAGTTTTCCATGTCTATCACTAATACTCTAACACTATTAGAAATCAAAATACATTTCATTAAATAGATGTGTGAAGTTGTGAAATTCAGAGCCCAAACTGGACACTACTGCTGCCATTCTCTTTCCACTATCTCTTACTCTATACCAACAGGCATCAATAATGACTTGCAACTCTCTCCATTCTGCTGAGCCAGAAGCAAGCTTCACAACAAAAACACCTCATGACAGTGACCACCAGACACCACCAATCAGGTGGAATTGGGCACAAGAGATGAAACGTATCTACCATCCCAGAAATGAAAATGGATGCTGGAAAAGGAGGAAAAGATGAAAGAAGACTGGAAGACCAATTCAGTTCACTGCTAAAAGACACTTTTCAGGAAATCCTTAAAAGATCAGGAAATCCAAGGAAAAGTGTCATAAAAAGTTCTTACCTTTGCTGTACCAGTCTGGGAACCATAGAAAATCTTCACTCCAGACACAAAGACTTCCTTCTTGGGAAGAGAGATATAACCATTTGTCATCAAATCCCGAGTTGCTTTAGGAACTGATTTCTCCTGTGAGTTCTTGTCCTGGAAGATAAATGACTTGCACAAATCCATCAAGTTTAAATCTTTGCCCAACTTCAGCAAGAATGAAAATTAGCCCAAATACTGACCCATTTTATTATTCTCTTAATCTTTCTGGTTGTATTCCTCAAATACTAAGCCCTTGGTATAATTAGGTCCTTAAAAGGCAAGAACCACATTTCTAAAGACCATAATGATTCCCCTTATAGTATTATATGGATGAAAGTATTATTCAAAGATAAAACTATACATACTTTCATTCATAATGTATTTTAGTGGGATAAGTGTAGAAACCTATTTTTTGATCCATAATTAGTGGAAAGAAAAGAGACTACTACCCTTTAAAGATGTGAAACAAATTTAGTTTTCTACAAAAGTTTAATTTTTCATTACAAAATCTTCCTGTATCTTAAGAATGAGACATCCACAGCCCATCAAAGAAAAGGTAAATATAACTTAGTCCACAGTAATTTAGCCTGTAGAAACTGAGAACAAACTTTTTTAGGCAGTAAAAAAAATGTCTAGAAACTAAACATAAAAGTGATTTAGTTTCTTTTAGCTTTTCTGCATTTTTCTGAATGCACTCTAAATTGTCTATAAAATCTGATGCCTTGATACTCTCTATAAAAAAATAACTCCACTGCCTGGCCAGCATGGCTCAACAGTTGAGCATCAACCTATGATCCAGGAGATCCGGGTTCGATTCCCAGTCAGGGCACATACTCAGGCTGCAGACTCAGTTCCCAGTAGGGGGCGTGCAAGAGGCAGCTGATTAATGACTCTCACCATTGATGTTTCTAACTCTCTCTCTCCCTCTTCCATCCTCTGAAATCAATAAAAAAACATTAAAAATAATAATAACTCCACTTACCTGCTTCCTGATGATAATCTGGAAACAAATCCAGAGGGTAATACCAAAGGCAAAGCCCAAATATATGTAATATCTGTTTATCCACAGTGATATTAAAGGTGAGAAGTCCCATGTATCCAAAGAATCTAAATTTAAAATAATACATATATGTAATTTTATTTAAAGCTACATATACAAAGACATCCACTCTTATTTTAAAAAATAAAAGTAAATAAAACCAACCTCTATATTCAACAACAAGGCTAAGAAATCTATAGAAAATTAACTTTATTAAAAATAATACATGCCCTGGCTAGTGTGGCTCAGTTGGTTGGAACGTCATCCCCTACAGGTTAAATTCTGGTCAGGGCACATACCCAGGTTGCGGGTTCCATCCCTGGCCGGGCAGGTGCGGGAGGCAACCAATAGATTTCTCTCACATCAATGTTTCTCTCCCTCTCTCTCTTCCTCCCTCTAAAATCAATTAAAATATATATATAACATAATAATATATTATGTGGCAATGTGATAAAGTTATGATAATGCTAACTCAAGTGTATGTGTGTGTATATATATATATATATATATATATATATATATATATAAAATCTTTATTTGGAGATAGCATTTCGAAGCAAAAGAAGGAAACTGACTCAAAACACTTTATATGAGTTAATTTCGCTGTTATGCTTGCTCCATAAGAAAAGCTTAAAACAGTACTAAAACTATTCCCTTTTTTCTAATTGGGTCCTTGTAAAGAGTCCTTAAATAACGGACCTCACGCCCCATTTTGGAGGGAGATATGAATGGACCTGGCCTCAGATGTTAAATTGACCTGGGGTCAATTTAAAAAGGCGAAGCCCCAAGTGTTCGCAGGTGCTGCTCCACCCTGGAAAGGCACTGGACACACGTGGGTGAGGGGTGGGTGGAAGGTGTCAGCTTTCTCCACCCTTCACTTGAGGTTTAGAAGCAAAAGGCAACAGTCAAGTCAAAAGCAGAGATCGATCCTCCCTTGCCCCCAGAGGTACCCATGCTAACAAGGGCAACGATCTCTGAAGGGTCCCGAGAACGCCACCCGGCGGGGAGGGGGTCTCAGGAACACGGTGTCTCCCCTCCCGCCTCACGAACTCTGTCGGCCGGGGCCCTTACCCATTCTCCTCAGAGCCTGGGCTCTGCGCCCGACGGGAGACTGGGAGCGCGGACCTGAAACACCTGGCGGTTAGCCTGGGGACTGGGAGGCCGTCAGGACTAGCTCGCAGCATTAACTAGTTGCATAACCTGAGATCCCGGAGCTGGAAGAAGCCATGCCACTCGCAGGCTCACCGGGATTGGCTCAGAGGGGGAAGAGGCGGCCCCCGAGGGGAGCACTGCTTAGAGCCCGCGGCGAGGGAACCGGAGCTTTCCTGGTCCTGCTCGGATTGGCTCAGAGGGGAAAGGGGCGGGCCTAAAGAGAAGCACCGCCCAGAATTCTGGGCGGGGCAGCCGGAGAACTCCGCCCCTTCCGGAGTTGGCACTGGGGAGGAAGGAGCCAGTGTGTCAAAGCACCGTCAAAACTGAAGTGGCTTAACGGGGGAAAAGGGGCGTTAAAAGAGACCAAGGGCGTCATCAAGCAAATACAGTCTGTAGACCCGTTTGGATCTGTGTTGAAACACACCGACTGTGAAAGGGCAGTATGTAGGAGGAATTTTATTATAGACTATCTATTAGATAATGCGAAGGAATTATGGTTAATCGTGTTGGGTGTATTTTAGGATAGACAAGTACTTAAAGCTAAACCTTATCATTATTTGCTTTAAAACACCCCAACAAAAAAAAAAGGGAGAAAGAATGAAGCAAGAATGGCAAAATGTTGATAATGATTGAAGCGGATTGATGGGTACATGGACACTCCTTGCACTTTTTCCTCTGTGTTGTATGTTAAAAAATATTCCGTAATGAAAGGTTAAGGTGGGTGGCACTGAACTCTGCGGAACTATGAGGCATCGGCGCTGTGTTTCCACCCGACCTGCAAATATCGGCTTCAACAGCTAATCAGAGCTCTTGAGCTCATTGGTGAAATATTACCTCGGGAAGTGCGTCTCTCTTTTCCGGCACAGAACGACGTCGTAAAAGCCACAGTGCGCAGGCGTCATTGCTCCCTTTTCCGGGTCCGGTTCGCCTGCGCAGTAAGCCCGCTGAGTGGGTTGTGGCGGTCCGCTCGGCCGTTAGTTACGAGGCTGCGCACTCTACGGGCGAGACTGTCCCGCGCGCCGCCGGGGAATTACAGCGAAGCCGGCGCGAGTGTGCCGCGGTTCGCCGGACCCACGGTCTGTGAACAGCCGCGATGTCTATCTTCACCCCCACCAACCAGATCCGCCTAACAAATGTGGCTGTGGTACGCATGAAGCGCGCGGGGAAGCGTTTCGAAATCGCCTGCTACAAAAACAAAGTCGTCGGCTGGCGGAGCGGCGTGTGAGTCACCCTCTGCCTCCGGGCCCCGGCCGCAGCGGGGCGCCTCCGAGGCGGCCTGCCTCTGGTGGGCGAACGGATGGACCAGGCTGGGGTCTTGTCGGGGAAGGAACTGGAAAACTTTTTCCCTGCTGGGAGCGCGAGAAGTCGCTGTTCTTCCCGGGCTTAGCGCCTAAACCAGGCGTTCCTTTTTTCGTTTGGGTTGTTTTTTGGAATTTGGTTTTGCTTTGCTCTGATGCGGTCACAAGAAACCTCTATAATTACGCTCTTTTTGCCAGAATAATGATAAAGGCAAAGAGCCTGGTCTTACAAATACTAGTTATAGGACATCCGGTGTCACAGATGGCAAGTAGCCCAGGACCACCCAAGTGCGTAGTGTGCTCACTGCTGCCATCTAGGGGCCAGAATTAAG